TCATATATTCTTTCCATCTGCCTTGACTTCCACAGCCAGAAAATGTTGTCCTGACTCTTCAGGTAAAGCCTTTTGTTGTATCTGATGCACACTGTGGAAAATATTATTAATGAACTAATAATTACATAATGCAGTTGTTCATTTCCTATTTTTATTGCATTTGTTGGATATTTGTTTTAACAATTTTAGCTGAGCCATTTACTACATTGTTGATTCTGTCTGTAAAAGTAGATTTTTTGTGGGCTGTAAGAGAAACCTATTTCTTTTATCTAACAAAATATTTTACTTAAAACTCCTAGGAGGTTGCTGGTATAAATGACTGTGTGTTGCATTTGTTTGTCCTTGGGGCTGTTTTCATGAAGTAAGTGGTGGAATTTGAGGCAGAATCACTGAAAGCAGAATTGGAGCATGATGAAATGTAACTGGTGAGAAGCTAGCTTGTAACTGGCCCTGAAGGAAAATGACTGACAACTATTCTTCCTCTGCACTTGTAATAAGATGGTACTCACAGATGGATAATAGCAGTATTGAATAACTATAAATTACATGTTTTCCAACTTAATCAATTACAGTTAATATTCTAATAGTCAATAAAGACTGACTCAGTTGTCATCAAAGACAGAAGTACAAGGAAGTGCCCAATCAGTATTTTGAAACCCCAAGTATCAAAATGGGTTTTTGTAATACAGGTATTCTGAATATATATTTTAGCTTTATATGTATTGCTTGATTTGAAGAAACAACAGCTAAGGGCCTTAAGAAACTGAAAGTCTGTTAAGTCCACCTTCGTGTTTCTTGTTTGCGAAATATGGCTAACCAGATAGAGTACTTAAATGAACTGCAGGCCAGGAGTTTGCACAGTAGAAGTAAACAGTGGCCCACTTCAGTCTACAGGGGAGCTTGCATCTAGGCTATAGGTAGAGTTTCACTGACATACAAGCAAAGCAAGAAAAATGATGGCAACTTATAAAGTCACAAAATTCAGCTTTTTGTTGAGCAGAATACAGTGGAGTCTCAACTTACGAACTTAATCCGTATTGGAAGGCAGTTCTCAGGTCGAAAAGTTCTTAAATCGAATCTGCATTTCCCATAGGAATGCATTGAAAACCATTTAATCCGTATCTGCTGTTTTCGTCCATAGAAACTAATGGGAAGCTGCTATTCTGCCTT